TGACCATCCCCCCTGGGGGGTGATTTCTCGCTTTCTGTCTCTATGTCTCTCTCTGTCTGGCGAGCGCACGTGCCCTACAGTGAAAATCTCACCAAAAAATAAATAAATAAATAAGTAGAATTAAATAAATAATTCTTTAAAAAATACAATTTAATTAAGAAAAAAAAAGCTATGGAGCCAGTAGGTGGCATGGTAGTTAGGACGCTGGACTCCCACATGGCCAACCACGGTTCAAGTCCTGGACCTGGCAGCTTGCTTTCTCGCTTTTCTTCTCTCTCTGGTGAGTGCACATGCCTTATATAAAATTTTAAAGTAATAGTAATAAATAAAAATTCAATTATTGGTGCTGTCAAGTGGTGTGGTGGCTAAAGGTGCTGGATTCCCACATGGCCGACCGCAGTTCGAGTCCTGGACCTGGTGGCTTGCTTTCTCACTTTCCCTTTCTCTCTCTCTCTGTCTCTGTGTGATCAAATTAAAAAAACAATAACATATGGAATTAAATAAGTAAATGTTTTTTAAAAATTAAACTGTTTAAAGACAAAGATAAATGACCTATCTCAGAGTTTCTGGGGCCCCAGGGGTGAGCCACGGTGCCATAGTTGCTCCCACATAGGGAAGTCCTGGGTCTGAGGACGCCCCGGCACACCCAGGCACCTGGGCCCTGATCCCAGCTGCTGAGGTGGGCAGGTTGCAACATGAAGATCCTGGGGTGCCTCTGCCTCAGGAGAAATAAATAAACAAACAAAAAGAGCCTCTGAAATGGCCCCATAGCCCAGAGGTTGAGGCAGCTGGATCCCACATGGCCAACGACACTGGGCACATGCAGGTGCGCACCCAAATCCTCAACACGGGGAGAGCTGGAGGACCGATGGCAGCATGGCCGCGCCCCGCCCCCGGGGGTGCTTCCTCCCTCCTGTCTGTCTGTCTCTGGTGACCACTGCGCCCTCTGGCAAGTAAGACGGTTTCTATTCATGGGGCGGGGAATGACAGAACAGGTGAGCAGGCAGCAGGTGAGAAGGAGAGAAGGGCTCGGAAGCAGGAAAACGGCTGTGGGAGGAGGAAGGCTGGGAGGGGGCGGAGCGTTTCGTGGGTCGGAAAGGAAAACCTTAGGTGACAGCTGAGCATGAGCTTCAAGACGCTGAGGGGGAGACCAGCAGTTAATGGCTGTCGCTGGACTCCCACGTAGTTGACCGCGGTTCGAGTCCCGGACTCGGTGGCTTAAACTCACGCCGGGTGCATGTGCGTGCGTGCTCAGGATCCCGAGAGGAGAATGGAGAAGGGATTGCGGCGTGGCCATCCCCCCTGAGGGGTGATTTCTCGCTTTCTGTCTCTCTGTCTCTCTCTGTCTGGTAAGCGCACGCGCCCTATAACAAAAACCGCTCAAAAAAAAAAAAAAAAAAAAAAAAGCTGGGGGGACAACGGGGGGGGGCCCTGGAAAAAAAAAAAAAAAAAAAAAAAAAAAGACGCTGAGGGGACAGCAGTGAGGGACTCTGAGAACAGTGAATTGCTGAGAAGAATGGCTCTGGGGGTCTTGCTCCCACCGCATCTATGTCCCCCAACAATGGATGACAGCACCCTCCCCCAGGAGGGTGAAGGCCCCAGGCCCCCAGCTCCTACTCCCCTGAGAAGCCCCTGGTGGCACCCACACTGTCCTGCCCATCTCACCGATGACATAGGAGAGGATGAGAGTCCAGCCCGTGACGAAGGCCAGCAGCTGCCCCACTGTGACGTAGCTGTAGAGGTACGCAGAACCGGGGCCTGGGACCCGGGCCCCGAACTCGGCATAGCAGAGTCCAGACAGCACCGTCGGCAGGGCGGCCGCCAAGAAGCAGAGGACGGTGGCTGGGCCGGCTTTGTCCTTGGCCACGTCCCCGACCAGGACGTACACACCCACGCCCAGGGTGCCGCTCACACCCAGAACCACCACGTCCAGGGGCTCAGACACGGGGTCATGCGGCCCTCGGGGCCCGTGCGTGGCTCCAGGGGCTTCCTGCGCTTCAGTTTCTGAGCAAAGAGGCAAACTTCCTGCCACAGCATCCCAGCTGGGCGGCCGCGGATCTGCCGGGGAAGACACAAAGCCATCAGGGCGAGGCCGGTGGTTCCCCCCCCTGGGAGCCTGATCCCTCAGGGCTGGCTGCAGTTCCAGTCCGGCCCCACAGCGCGTGGAACGTGCTGGGCACATGTGTGTGCGTGCCCGAAGTCCCAGAGGGGTGAAGTGGAGGAGAGGGGATTGTGCTGTGACCAGGCCCCACTGGGGGAACTTTCCCCCTTTCTCTCTCTCTAACACATTTTCCTCTGACTTTAAAGAAAGGGGGAGCATTGGCCACGGGAGCAGTGGGGTATGGGAGCCGAGGCCAAATCCACGAGTCTAAGCCTTGGTGCGTTTACGTGTAAATTACAATCGGAATACTTTTGCTTGAAGAAACAGGAACACCAGCTTCCGCAGGGTGCCTGGCACATGGCAGCTGCTCAGCTGATCAGTCAAGTGGCCAGGAGTGCCGATCCGGAGCCCAATGCTCGGGTCCGAATCCAGCCCTGATTGACTGATCCCACAGGGCTTCTGAGCACCCCCATCTCCCCTCTGCGCAGCGTTCAGCACACCATCACCACGCACCCTCCCTTCCTGGGCAGGGCGAAGAGCTTCTGTGTGGCCTGGCGCCTGGGTCCTGGAGCTGGGAGCTGTCTGCTCCATTCCTGCCAGGGACCGGGAATTGGAAGGCGGAGCTGGGTGGAATGAGACAGGCTCCCAGGGCCAGGGAAGACTGCAGCCCAGCCTGTCAGAGACCCTTCTGGCTCTCAGCCCCGGGCCTCCAGCCTCTGGCCTCCAACTGCAGTGCCTGAGGGCCAGGAGGACCGGCCTTCATTCCTTCCCAGCAAAAACCGTCCCAACCCCTGAGTGAGGAGGGCGCGGCTGCCCTGGGACTGAGTCACCGTGGGGCTGTGCCCTGCAAATCCAAGAGCGGGCTTAGCCTCCACGGGGCCCCAGCATCCACATCTTGGCCCACTGTTCCTGGCCGCCTTCCGGTACGCCGCGTCCTTCTCTGAGCCCCTGTTCCCTCTTCACTGCTGCCAGCGAGCCCCGTGCCCTGCTGGGGAGAACGGCCGGTGCGGCTGCACCCTTGCAAAGGTGTGGTCGTTCCTCAAAAATCAAAACTGGAATCATGAGGGTCGGCCCGTGGCCTGGTGGTTAAGGCTTCAAATCCCAGCCCCGGTGGCTTGAAACACACCAGATGCATGCGCATGTGTGTCCAAAATTCGGAAAGAAGAGAGAAACGGAGAAGGATTTCGGCATGACTGTGCCCCATGGGGGTACTTTCTGCCTCTCTTCCTCTCTCCCTCTGGTGAGGGCATGCACCCTCTGTCAATTTAAAACAAAACCAAAAAAGCTAGCACTATCGTATGAGCCAGCAAATCCTCTCCTGTAAAGCGGACAGACTTCACAGCAGGGTAACCAAAGGGATCACACAGCAGGTTCATAGCAGCTCCGTTCACACCAGGAAGTGGAGGCAGCTATTGATGAGAGATAGCCGAACGCGTGTACACGAACGGCAGGACGTCAGCTGGCCTCTGAAAACGAAGGGAGAGGGCAGCAGGCGGCATGGTGGTTCAAGCCCTGGACTCCCGCGTGGCCAACCATGGTTCGAGGCTAGACCTAGAGGCTCTCTTTCTCTCTCTCTCTGTATCTCTTTCTGATGAGCACACATGCCCTATAGCAAATTAAAAAATAATAATAATGGGACCGGCAGATGGCGTGGTAGTTTAGGCGCTGGACTCCCATATGGCCTACCATGGTTCAAGTCCCAGACTTGGTGGCTTGCTTTCTCACTCTCTCTCTCTCATGTCAAATTTAAAAATAATAAGAATTACAATCATAGCGATAAGTAAACAAGGTTAAATAATTCTTTTTAAAATAATAATAAATAAAATTAAATAATTATCTTTTAAAAGAGAGGATTCTGATGCATTCTACAACACGGATGGACCTTGAAGGCATTCGCCAAGTGAGATAAAGCTGACACAGAGAGACGGTGCCCTCGGGTTCTGCCAGGGAGGCACCCAGTCGTGGTGTTCAGAGCCCCGGAGCTGCATGTGGCTGCTTGGAAGGGGTGTGGGGCAGGGAGCTGTTTGTGGGTGTGGAGTGTCACGTTTGACGCGTGAAAAACTTCCAGACTTTGCCATGAACCTAAGATTGCTCTAGAAAGAAATGAAGTCACGGGCCGGCTCTGTCGCCTAGTGGTCGAGAGAGTTGGGTCCCACGTGGCCAGCCACGATCAAATCCCAGCAACACCAGGCGCGTGTCCTTGCATGCCTCGTATTCCTTCAGGACGGAGGAGTGGAGACGGGGTTGTGGCGTGAGCACACCCCATGGGAGGTGCTCTCTCTCTCTGTCTCTCTGTCTTTCTACCTTGCTCTCTCTCTCTCTGTCTCTGCCTCTCTCTGGCAAGAGCACACACCATTTGGCAATTTTTTAAAAATTAATTTTATTTAACTTTATTCATTTTTAATTTGACCAGAGAGGGACAGGGTGAGAGAGGAGAGAGAGAGAAAGAGAAAGCAGGTCTCCAGGTCCGGGACTTGAACTGTGGTCAGTCATGTGGAAGTCCAGCACCCTAAACCACCATGCCACCTGCTTTTCTAATTGCCCCAATATAGACTTGAGAGAAAGTTCTGGAGATGAGTTGGACAGCACCGAAGACCCGTAACAGTACCGAGTGCTGGCCTCCAGTGGTCCCAGGGCTCAGCCTCGTGGTGTGCCTTTTACAATTTCATTCACGTCCCGGTAAGATTCAGCCGGCCTCATGGGACGTGAGTCACCACACCCAGCTGCAGTGGTCTTCCCACCTGGCTTCCCAGCCCCTCCCACAACCCGTGGCCTTGGAGAGCAGAGGTCTCCCAGGACGGCGGACTCCCGCGGGAGAGAGGTTACCCAGACTCACCAGACTGCGGGAGCAGAGCCTGGAGCGCTGGATCCGAGCCTGTGCTGGAGCGGACTCCCTGTGTCCCCGCCGGGACGCCGGCTCAGGCTCAAATACCCCCTGAGGGTGCTGGGTGGTCACAGGGCGGGCAGGGACGGGGCGGGGCGGTCCGCGGGATGCTATCAGCCTCATAGCTCTGCCGTTCCAGGCAAGGGTTGGCTCCAAGATGTTTTTGTTTTGTTTTAAGAATTATTTTATTTGGGGCCAGCAGATGGTGTGGTGGGCAAGGCGCTGGGCATTGCCACACGGCCGACCACATTTCGAGTCCTGGACCTGGTGACTGGCTTTCTCACTTTCTCTGTGTCTCTGGTCAGATTTAAATAAATGAGTGACTGCATAAAATTAAATAAGTCTTCAAAGAGTCTTACAAAAAAAAGAATTGTTTTATTTAACTTTATTTATTTTTAATTTTGACCAGACAGAGGGAGAGAGAGAGAGTGTGTGAGAGAGGGTGAGCGAGGGAAAGTGAGAAAGCAAGCCGCCAGGTCCGGGACTTGAACTGCAGTTGGCTCTGTAGGAGTCCAGCGCCCTTCACCCCCACGCTACCTGTCGGCCCCCAGGTGTTTTTTTGTGATAAAATACACATGCCATCGACTTACCTCCGGCACCTCTGCGCAGCTCGTGCCGTACGTACACTGCCACCGCTGTACGATGCACGCCGTCCGCCCTCAAGCCAAGCTCTGCTCACTGGCAGCTCCTCTCCCCTCCCCGGCCCTTGGCAGCCACGAGTCACCGTCCTTTTTCCTTCTGTTTTATTGTTTAGTGTTTGCCATGGCATGTGTGTTCTCGGGAGAGACAGAGAAAGGAAGTGAGAAATCACGCCCCAGGTGGGATGGTTCCACACGGTCCCGTCTCCATCTTCCTCTCAGGATTTGGGGCACGAGCAGTGCGTTTTCCAGGACCAGTCAATGGCGCAGTAGTCATCGCCAGTTTCTTTTTTTTAAACAATTATTTTGGGGGCCAGCAGATGGTGAGTGGTTAAGGGCGCTTGACTCCCACATGATCAACTGTGGTTCGAGTCCTGGACATGGCGACTTGTTTTCTCACTTTTCTTCTCTTTCTCTGTTGCTCTGTCCCTTTCTGGTAAAATAAAAATAAAAATAATAACTAAGTTAATTTGATAGTATTTATTTATTTTAATATTACCAAAGAGGGCCTGAGTGAAAGGGAAAGTGAGAAAGCAAGCTGTCGGATCCTGGACTCAAACTATGGTCAGCCGTGTGGGAGTCCAGCGCCTTTAACCTCCACCTGCCAGCCCCTAGTTGACCCCTGTTTAAGTCCTGGACCCGGTGGCTTAAAACTCACTCTAGGTGCATGTGCGTGCATGCCCAGGATCCCGAGAGGAGAATGGAGGAGAAGGGATTGCGGCGTGGCCATCCACCCGAGGGGTGATTTCTGGCTTTCTGTCTCTCTGTCTCTCCAGTGAATACACACACCCTGTAGCAAAAATCTTTCTGAAAAAGAGAGAGAGAGAAGTTTAAAAAAAAAAAAAAAGTGTACTTTCCAAGACCTGGATCCAGGACTTGAACTGCTCAGTAGGCCGTGTGAGATCCAGCAGCCTCGACAGCACCCCACTGGCTGGCCCTCAACTCTCTCCGTGAGGTTGACGACTCGAGCCCCTCAAAGCGGAATCATAAACACGCGTCCTCTGTGACTGGTCCGTTACGGCATGCGCGACAGCACCCTTATTTTTATTATTTAGATGTTTACCATAGGGTGTGTGCACTCGCCAGGGAGAAAGACAGAAAAACAAACGGGGAAGTGAGAGGTCACCGCGTGAGTGGGCGGCCATGCTGCTGTACCCCTTCTTCCATTCTCCTCTGAGGATCTGAGGCACACACGTGGCCAGTGTGCCCTACCAGTCACCGGGTCCAGGTTCTGAACCATGGAGTCAGCCATCTGGGACAGCGCCCCAAAGACCACACCACCTGCTGGTCCCATCGTTCCTTCTTCTTTCTTTCTTTTAAATTATCTTATTTAACTTTATTCATATATTTATTTATTTTTATTTGACCAGAGAGGGACAGAGTGAGACAGAGAGTGAGAGAGCCCCCCGCCAGG